CCTCTCTAAGGAGGTAAGCACGGTGAAGGTAACACCCCAGGTTGGCAAGCCGCAATAGTCGTACAATCGGTACCTCCACCAGCCAACTTTGATTGGAGTGATTATTTCACTTGGCATAGGAATAAGTTCTATCCCTTCGAGAAGGAATGGGTCCCTGCTTTGTTCCAGTTATTATTGGAGCAGAATATGATCCAGCTTCTAGAAACCAGGTTCCCTGAGCAATCTGGCCTTGACACTCAGGAAAATTATTGTGCCTACCATCGGAGGATCAATCATCCCACAGATGACTGCTACATGCTGAAGGATATCATTGAGGCCTTGATTTTGAAAGGTCGGATAAAGCTTGAATATTTAAAGAAGGCCTTGGGGACTACTGAGGCGTCCCAAGCCGTAACCATTCAACAGGAGGAAAAAATGTTGGGTATCCTGTACACCCTCTTCATTATAATGCTTCAAGAAGGCATAATCACACTAAAACAGGTAAGGCAACCTCGCCTCCTTGCTAAGGGGACTGAAGATCGTTGGTGCCCATTCCATCAGATAGGAGGTCATTATTTGTCAGAATGCACAACTTTCCTTGATATATTCACAAGGCTCCTCATAACTGATCCCCAAATCACTTCTATATCAAGGCAAGAAGATCTCACAAACCGGGACCTTCCTATCAATGACTCACACTCTGCGGACCCTCAACTTCCCAACGTACTATGGCCGAAGCAAACTCAAGTCTTTGACGCAAGAATCGGTTCACCAAGCCAGTGCTGATCGCGAAACCAGTGAGACAATCAAATAGCACCTTAGAAACTAGAAAAAGACAGGCACCAAGGGTTGCTCGCCGAAGAAACAAGACCGCTCAACCCACAGCCGAGCAGGAATTTCTCAAGCCCCTTCATCCGTTGCCAACTTTGCTGGACTTCATCCCCGACACTATCCTTTTTCCTTCTTCAGTCTGTCAAGAAGACGTCCCGGTGCTATCTTCCACTCAGCAAACGTCTGATGAGGGTGACGCCACTAAAAGCACTCCCCAATGGTCTAAGCAAGGGAAAGACCTAAAAGACCCCCTGCAACCGTCCAATCCTGGTGATGACGTAAAACACTGCCCAGATCAGTCTGATGAGGGGAACGACCTTAAAAGTTCCCCACTTTTTAACCCTTCTACATGTTCTTCTCCAGCTTCTCATTCTCTTTCTCCTATGTCTTCTTCATGTACAACCTTGATGTGCCCAGACTTCGAGGCTCTAGACTGGGAATTTGAAGGAATCAATATAAGTAGGACGCAACGGAAGCGATTGAGAAAGACCCTGGCACAAGCAGCAGTATTCCCAACAGTTGCTGATCCCTTGGCAGCTAAAGCTAATGCAAAGCCACCTACCACAAAGAAGCATAAGAATTCGAAGCCAAAGAAGCCTCAGTGGCCCCCTGAGCCTGACTTCGAGCAGAGATTAAGAAAATCGAGGGGTCAAAGCTTCTATTCTCAGACAGCTTGCCAAATGGTGCAAATTTCAGAAGCAATATTCACCGCGGGGCAGATAAATCTCAGATCAGGGAGGACGCTGCAGCCTCCACCACAGAAGTCAAGCACCTTGAACGTCCCCAGTTCTCCACTTCCCCATAATCCAAAACCTAATCTGCTTATCCTACAGCTCACTAGACTTCTTCCTAAGCCCAATACCTTAAACAATCCCCCGACCCTCCAATTTCTGATGGCCCCTTTTATCTCATACACTCAGTCTCTTCTAGAACCTCAAAATTCCATCACTCAAACCAAGCCCGTTGTGCAATCAAGTCAGCCAGCTAGCCAAAATAAACCCTCTGTATCAAAACCTGCTCCTCCACTCAATATACCCGCCAAATCAGTGGCTGGACCAAGAGCACAAGCCCTTGATCAAGAGAACGTGAAATATGATATGATAGAGCATCTACAGATGCTTCCTGCCCTTCTCAGTATGTACGATGCCCTCATGCTTTCAAACGATTACCGGATGGCTTTGGTTCAAGATCTCTCTGACCCAGGAGTGTACGAGACCCAAAGTAGAACCTATCGAGGTGGACCCGACAATTCTATAAGGATGTATGCCAATCACCTTTTCAAAGGACGATATGCAATTAAGGGAAACACTTCATAATTGCCCTCTCTTTGTTGCTGACGAATTACAGGCATGCCCCTTCAACCGAATCATGTTAGATGGAGGGTCGGCAGTCAACCTCATTCCAAGAAGGATCCTTACCTGATTAGGGTTGGGGTCCGAAGATCTTACCCCGACCCACATCACAGTTCAAGGGTTTAACCAGTCATGAGAGAAGCCGACTGATATGATATGCCTTCGTTTTAAGATCGGTGACCTGAATGATTACGTCCTGTTTCATGTAATTGACACCGACACTTCTTACAATATTCTCCTCGGTCGACCATGGCTCCATGATCAAGGGGTGGTTCCATCAACAATAATGTTTCAAGTATAACCGAGATGGGAGACAACATACGGTCTATGCTGACAAAAGACCCTTCCCTGTGGCTGAAACTCACTATGCAAATGCAAAATATTACTTAACAGATCTGACCTCGCCTCAGAAGCTGAGTGATGAAGGTCACGAGGCTACAAGCAAGACTGCATCTCTGTCTCATGAAGATGTTGAGAGGATGTTGGGAGGACGTTAGTCAACCATCATCCCTCAAGAAAGTCCTTCTTCCTTTGAAAAAGAGTCCTCACCCTTTGCCCCCAGTTCTGAGCCACCAGAAGTCATTTATGAGATCGAGCAAGCCATGGGGGTAGAATTACCGGCTCCAAGGATCACCTATATGCCAGACCAACAGAAAGTTCTGCGTATCCCCATAGCGTTCTTAAAAGCCGAAGCGGCACGGCATCCGTCGTAAAATGTTTTTCAAAATCCGGTTGCTATAAGTATAGAGGATGTTCCTCAGACCATTGTCCATCCAAAAGCTTTACTTTTCCCCTACTTCTCAGGAGAGAAGTTAGATGAAGGGCAACCCCACTCCCCTCAAGGGTAGGATCCTGTAGCAAACTTGAGAACAGAGGTTTGCAGTCTCCAAAGTCAGCTGGAGGTCATGCGTATTGCTTCAAAGCATCTCAAAGAGTTCGTGCCGAAGACTGAAAGCTATGATGAGCTTGAAGTAAATGCACAACTAATAGAGACCGAAGCCCCTCCCGACTTGACTGTCTATAGCAACCAGGCTAACCAAATCATGAAGAAAATGAACTATGAGCCTTTGGCCAATCAGACATTGAAAAAACAAAAAGCAACGACTCCCTATTTCTAAGCTATCCAAGCCGCGCCAGCCCACCATGGGGCTAAACAAGGGCTAAGGTATTAGTCTCTTGGGACAATGAAAGTATCAAGAGGCATTCAAAAGAATCACATTAAGCACAACAAAAGTAAAGAGAGAATGAAATTATGTAGTAAAGTCAATAAAAAAGAGAAGCGCTTTATTCATTTGTCAAAACTTTTACAAGTACTGAAAAAGGAGGAATGACATGCTCAGAAACGATCAATCATCTTATTGATCTCTGTGCTGCGAGCTTCGGGAGAAGTCTCGGTACCTTGAATACGTGCTTTCAGCTCTGCTACAGTTTGAGTCACCTCTGTCATCACCATAGTTTTCGACTCAATTGTGTCAACGAGTTCAGACAAATCTGCCACCAAAGAGGCCTCCATGGCCTTCTATTGAGCCATCTCCATCTCGAGGCCCGTGAATTCCTCTTTCAGTATTCGCAAAGCTTCTCTGACTTCGATCATTCTCTTGAAGCTCCCTTGTGCCTCTTTCTTGTGGTCCTGCTGGCGGCTAGCTATCAAGGCTGTCTTCTCAATATAAGAATCTATCGTCTCTTGACTGCGTAAGATCAACTCTTCCAAGGCGCCTACCCTTCTGGTTTCTTCCTCAGGATGTAGCACTCCCAATCTCCAGCTCTTCAACTCGTTTAGAGTTGCACCAAAAGAGGAAAGCACCTCTGGCACCGGCCCGACTGAAGTAGTCCCAGCAAACTCCCTCAGCTTGGCAAATCCTTCTCCTAGCTCATTGAAAAGAAGCACCCTCAAGCGTTGAAGGCACCTACTTTAAGCATGCCTTCAATCATGCTAGAAACATCACCGAAAACAAGCCTGGAAGATGCTGTTAAGGTCACCACTACGGAAGACACCCCGACTTCAAGGATCGGGCTTGTTAAAGAGAGAGCCATTTGAGCCACTGGCTCCTCCGAAATAAGGGCAAAGCCTTAAACTTCTTCCCCTTTGGGCTCATTGGCAGCAGCGGCCTCAATCTGCTTGGGCTCTTCGATGCCAGCCTTGTAGTCTAGAGTCTCTCTTATGGGGACCTCTACTTCTATCCCAACAGGCTGTAGAAGAACCTATTCCCCTTGCTCCTCACACTACTGGGCTGTCACCTTAACATCATCATGTTAAAAAATCGCCCCTTTTCTTTGGCCTTCGCCAACCGATTTATCCCTGGTAGTGGCTTCCTCCACTTGGCCTTTACCTTCAACAACCAGAACCTCAACCATAAAGAGCTCAGTCCCCTCATCTTCATGACTTGAGGCCACGAGAGCAACAACCTCTCGGTGCTCGGGCATGTCATCAACTTCAGGTTCTTCTCCTCGAGCCATAGCCCCTACCTCGGTCGAGCAATAAACTCATCGTGCATGGAGACCACATCGACATTTGAGCCTCTATCTGAAGAAAAGAAAACAATTTAGAAGAAGCATAAGATGGTTCAAAAAGCACAAAGGGTGACATTAGAAGAATTCCTAAAAATTCAGAAGAGGAAGGGCTACCTCCTAATTTTGACACCTCGGGAAGCTTGTCACTCTTCCACCTCTGAATACGCCCACTATCTGAAGACGCTGCATGGGTGTCCGCAGTAATCAGGCGCTTTCTTTTCTTTTTCCCTGCTAGAGTAAGAGCTGCCGCCTCAGATCCACCTCCCTGAGAAGGCCCTCCAAGGAGGCTACCCATCTGGTTTCTTCCTCATGATGTAGCACTGCCAATCGCCAGCCCTCCAACTCGTTTAGAGTTGCCCCAAAATTGGAAAGCACCTCTGGCACAGTCTCGACCACAGTAGTCTTAGCAAACTCCCTCAGCCTGGCCAATCCTTCTCCCAACTCATTGAAAGGCAGCTCCCTCAACCCTTAAAGGTCTGCTCTAAGCATGCGTTCAGTCATGCTAGAAACACCACAGAAAACAGGCCTGGACGATGCTGCTAAGGTCACCACTGCGGAAGACACCCCGACCTCAAGGACCGGGCTTGTTGAAGAGATAGCCATCTGAGCCACTGGCTCCTCTGAAACAAGGGAAAAGCCTAGAACTTCTTTTCCTTCGGGGTCATGGGCAGCCTCGGCCTCAATTTGCATGGGCTCTTTGATGCTAGCCTCACAGTTTGGACCCTCTCTTATGGGAACCTTTACTTCTGTCCCAACAGGATGTAGAAGAACATGTTCCCCTGCTCCTCACACTCCTGGGCTGTCACCTCAGCATCATCATGTTCAAGAATCTCCCCTTCTCTTTGGCCTTCACCAACCGCCTTATCCCTGGTAGTGGCTTCCTCCACTTGGCCCTCGCCTTCAACAGCCAGAACCTCGGGTGTAACCTCATCTTCATGACTTGAGGCCACGGGAGTAGCAACCTCTTGGTGCTCGGGCATGTCATCAACTTCAGTCTCTTCGCCCCATAGCCCCTGCCTCGGTCGAGGCAGTAAACTTGTCGTGCATGGAGACCACTTCGACATCTGAGCCCCTATCTGGAGCAGTTGCTTTAGGGTTTTCATCCTCCTCAGTCTCCACTAGAGCCGCCTCAAACTCAGGAACTACCCCTGGACTCGAGGGTGTTTTCGTAAGATCCAGAGTCCCCTCCCGATGAGAAGCAATGCCAACAGGCTCAGAGCTGTCAGAGTCCTCTGCCACGGTTTCTAAGGAAAAGAAAACATTTTAGATGAAGAAGAAGATGGTTTAAAAAGCACAAAGGATGATATTAGAAGAGTTCTTAAAAGATCAGAAGAGTAAGGTCTACCTCCTGATTCTGACACCACAAGAAGCTTGTCACTCTTCTGCCTCCGAATATGCCCACTATCTCAATAAGCTGCATGGGTGTCCGAAGCGGTCGAGCACTTTATTTTCTTTCGCCCTATTGGAGTAAGATCTGCCGCCTCAAATCCACCACCCTGAGAAGGGCCTCCAAGGAGGCTACCCTTCTGGTTTCTTCCTCATGATTTCGCACTCTCAATCGCTAGCTCTCCCACTCGTTTAGAGTTACACCAAAATGGGAAGCACCTCGGGCATCGTCCCGACTTTAGTAGTCCCAACAAACTCCCTCAGCCTGGCCAAGCCTTCTCCCATCTCATTGAAAGGCAGCTCCCGCAAGTCCTAAAGGCCTGCTCTAAGCATGCCTTTAATCATGCTAGAAACACCACTGAAAACAAGCCTAGACAGTGTTGCTAATGCCACCACTGGGGAAGACACCCTGACCTCAAGGACCGAGCGTGGTGAAAAGATAGCCATCTAAGCCACTGGCTACTTTAAAAAAGGGCAAAGCCTAAAATTTCTTCCACTTCGGGCTTATGGGTAGCCCCGGCCTCAATCTACATGAGCTCTTCAATGTCAGCCTTACTGTCCGGACCCTCTCTTATGGGGACCTCTACTTCTGTCCCAACAAGCTGTAGAAGAACTTGTTTCCCTTGCTCCTCACAATCCTTGGTTGTCGCCTCATCATCATCAAGTTCAGGAATCGCCCCTTCTCTTTTGCCGTCGCCAACCGACTCATCCTTGGCAGTGGCTTCCCTCACTTGTCCCTCACCTTCAACAGCAAGAACCTCAACCCCAAAGAGCTCAGTCCCCTCATCGTCATGATTCGGGGCCATGGGAGCAGCAACCTCTTGGTGCTCTGGCACATCATCAACTTCAAGCTCTTCTCCTCGAGCCATAGCCCTTGCCACGGTCGAAGCACTAAACTCCTCGAGCATGGAGGACACATCGACATCTGAGCCCCTATCTGGAGCTGCTGCTTCAGGGCTTTCGTCCTCCTTAGTCTCCAACTGAGCTGCCATAGAATCAGGAACTATCCCTGGACTCAAGGGTGTCTCTCTAAGATCCGGAGTCCCCTCCCGATCAGAAGTAATGCCAACAGGCTCAGAGCTGTCAGAGTCATCTGCCACAGTTTTTAAAGGAAAGAAAACATTTTATCAGAAGTAGAAGATGGTCCAGAAAGCATAAAGGGTGATATTCGAATAATTTTTAAATGATCAGAAGTGCAAGGGCTACCTCCTAATTTTGACACCATAGGACGCTTGTCACTCTTCCACCTCCGAATACGCCCACTATTTGAAGACACTCCATGGGTTTCTGCGGCAGTTGGGTGCTTTCTTTTCTTTCCTCATGCTGGAGTAAGAGTTCCTGCTTGAGATCCACCTCCCTAAGAATTCCCTCCTAGGAGGCTGCCCTTCTTGTTTCTTCCTCATGATGTAGCACTCCCAATCACCAGCTCTCCAACTCGTTTAGAGTTGCACTAAATGGGAAAGCACCTCTGGCGCCGTCCCGACCCAGTAGTCCCTGCAAATGCCCTTAGCCTGGCCAATCCTTCTCCCAACTCATTGAATGGCAGCACCCTCAAGCCCTGACGGCCTTCTCTAAGCATGTTTTCAATCATGCTAGAAACACAACTGAAAACAGGCCTGGAAGGTGTTGCTAAGGCCACCACTGCGGAAGACACCCCGACCTCAAGGACCGTGCTTGTTGAAGAGTTAGCCATCTGAGCCAGTGGCTCCTCTGAAACAAGGGCAAAGCCTAGAACTTCTTCCTCTTCGGGCTCATGGACAGCCTCGACCTCAATTTATATAGGCTCTTCATTGCTAGCCTCACTATCATGACCCTCTCCTAGGGGGACCTCTACTTTTGGCCCAACAGGTTGTAGAAGAACATGTTCCCCTTGCTCATCACACTCATGGGCTGCACCTTGGCATCATAAAGTTCAGGAATCGCTCCTTCTCTTTGTCCTTCGCCAACCGACTCATCCCTGACAGTGGTTTCCAACACTTGACCCTCGCCTTTAATAGCTAGAACCTCGGCCACAAAGAGCTGATTCCCCTCATCTTCATGATTTGGGGCCACAGGAGCAGCAACCTCTTGGTGTTTGGGTATGTCATCAATCTCAGGCTCTTCTCCTCGAGCCATAACCCCTGCCTCAGTCGGGCCACTAAACCCCTCGTGCATGGAGGCCACATCAACATCTGAGCCCCTATCTTGAGCAGTGGCTTCAAGGCTTTCATCCTCCTCAATCTCCTCCGGAGCTGCCTCTGACTCAGGAACTACCCCTGGACTCAAGGGTTTCTCCCTAAGATCTGGAGTCCCCTCCAGATCAAAAGCAATGCCAACAGGCTCAGAGCTGTCAGAGTCGTTTACCTCGGTTTATGAAGAAAAGAAATTTTTTTAGCAGAAGCAGAAGATGGTTCAGAAAGCACAAAGGGTGATATTAGAAGAATTCTTAAAAGATCAGACGAGGAAAGGCTACTTCTTGATTCTGACACCACAGGAAGCTTGTCACTCTTTCGCCTCCGAATATGCCCACTAACTGAAGACGCTGCATGAGTGTCTGTAGCAGTCTGACACTTTCTTCTCTTTCCCTCTGCTGGAGTAAGAGCTGTCGCCTCAGATCCACCTCCTTGCCTCCAGCCAATTTGATGTGAGGACAGCTCCCTATTAGGACGTTCAAGTCTAGTGGTGGAAGCTTCTCATAACCAGGGACTTGTCGCCCCTCATCCCATTCGAAGATCGAGTTAAGATTGTCGAAGACACTCCCAATCATCATCTTCATTACAACGAACTCTGGCGAGGCCTCATCAGTAGGTATATCCCGTGGAAGCCCCAAAGCCCGCCAGTTAAAGGGATAATCCAAGGCAAACACCATGTCAGGAGCAGGAGCATTCGCCAGCCTCCTTTGCTGGGCATTTTGGCACCCGTTACCATTCACCCCCTTCTAAGGGTGATCCTTTTCCCAATAGCCCTTACTGGTGACCCTTCACCAGTTCACGTATGCCCTAGTTGTTTGAACTTTCCTACTAAAGTGTGGTAGCACATATTTGCTGCTCTCTGTCATTTCCTGACACATGGACCAAGCAATCCGTATATGCTCCGTCAGCCAACACTCTCGGAAAGTTCCAAACTCTTCCACTTTCCCCTTATACACCTTACTCCGGTGCTTCTCAAATAATACCGAGAAGGGGAAGCCTTGGTCAAGCCCATGTTGACAGGAAAATCGGTGAGGGAAATACCCCTCCTACCAGGCACTGTGTGAAATCCGATAAGGTAAGACTCCCCCTCTGATGCTCAGCATGAACATGAGTTCCTTAATCGTTGTTGGGGCACTATCCAGTTCCTTCCCCAATTCATCAACGAAAGCACGGTTAGTGAAGCTCCCAACCAGAAAAGGGACTCTCCTCATGTTCAAAGAATCATTCCCAAACAGACCCCGAGCTTCCTCTGGGCCATGGAAGATAGCTCTCTGGTTCACAATCTTCATCAAGAAGGGCCACAATTTATTTCATGAGCACTGATGCTTGATGTAGGTGTCAGGGAAATAAGCCCCTAGCCACCCGTACACATAATGCATAAGGAATGGAGTTTTAAAATCTTTAGGGAAAGCTTCTCCTCCTACAATGTTGTTCCCTCCCTCTTTACCCTTATAGGCTTTTCCACGGGAGACAGCCCCCAAGCCATGGTATATGTTGCACATGACTGGTTGAGCAAGGGCATACGCATGCCCTCTTGCCATGTCGCATGCCACGTATAGTACCCCTGGATGAATGTCGTCCCCCCAGTCAGGGAACATGAATTTTCACAAGAATAAGGCACGATAGGCGGCCAAGAAGACATGGTCATCACTGGTCTCGAGTTGATATATGGGAGGTGTCTCTTTCGCAACTTCCTTCCCTTTCCCCTTCGGAGTACCTTGACCACGCTCAAGATAATCCTCGCAAACGAATTTCACCCATTCTGTTAAGGTGACCTTTCCATTGGTAGAGTGGCTGACAATAGACTAGTAGGCCTCAAAAATCTTTGGAAGACTGCTCTTCACCCCCCAAGTTAACACTACCGAAGATGTCTCAGTTTGACGGCACAAACTTGTCATACATAGCCCTAAGCATCGGAAGGCCTCCAATAAAGTGAAGATCCAGTAAAGAGATTCCCGCTTCGCCATGACAAAGAAGCCAAGTGTTGCTCACATGGCTCAACATATCCAGCAATACCTTTATTGTATTAGAGCAACGGTCGTAGTAGCTGCCTGAACATTGGACCGCTGTTAATAGCGAAGAATGCTCAAGAATGGTTCTATACGAAGCCCATTCCTTAACAGTCCAGGAAGCGTATCCCTTCAAGTATTGGTGCTCTCCCTAAATCCGGAGGTCTCTTGCCGACCACCTTAGTAATCCCTTCGTCTGGACCATTCGCTTCCTCAAGGTGGGTAAGTTCTCCCTAGAAGCTATGTTATGATGCATATAGTGAAGAAGTGTCATCCCTTCTTTAATACAAACATTGCCATCATTGCCCTCCCGCACTTCAAAGCATACGGGATCAGTAATGAAAGTGACACTAAGAGGCCACTCTAGCCCATACACTAGCTGGGTCAGCTAAATGGGATCGCCCCTTGATAAAACTTCACCTGTAAAGTCACAGGCGTTGATTTCCCCTTCCCTCGGGAGACTCTTCACATCGGGGATTTGGTAAGAATAACCAGCCATTACAAAGGATTTAAAGGTTCACTCCTGAAAACGCTACTAAGGCATTGGAATAGTGACAGTTGAGTCTGTCCAACACTCGCTCCAGTTGAGCCTCTCCAACACTTAACACAGGGTGAGCTCCTCAAAATTCTCAGTGCCGATTGCATGTTAACAACTAGTGTCGGGTGAGTTTTTCGATCACTCAGTGCCGGTCGAGCTTCTCAATGATCCGCGCCGGTTGAGTGCCAACAACTAGCGCTGGTTGATTCTTTCAGTACTCAGCGCCGGTTCAGATTGCCAACACCCTAGCGTCGATTGAGTTTTTCAAAGGCTAACGATGGCTGAGAGAAAATGCCTCACACGTGCCATGAATCCTAGTCGTGACACCTCGAATTCAGTTGCGCCAACTGACAACCGTTGCGACATCCTTCGGTGTTGCCTCACACACGATCGACTGATAACCGTACACTTTTCAAGGATGACAGTTCACCTCCAGCAACCGTATGCCTTCCCCATGATGTTTAACCTCCTACAGCCATACGACCCACCTCCTGTGATTGTTCGACTTCTACCAGAATGGCTCCCACACAGCAAAAAACTAGCATGAAAACTTTCCCGCCTATGTCTTTTGGTCTGGACTTCACCAGAACCTCGCCGAGAAACCTCTGCGACACCAATAATAGTGTCAAAAAGTGGAGATAACCCCGGTAAACCTTTTGAAAGTGCCAAGAAACTTCTACAACACCATGAGCAGTGCCGAAAAACAACTGTTGGGAAACCCCTAAAAACAATTCCTACCAGAAAGTAAAAAGGCAACCGGAATTCCTTCCCCTTCGTAGAAAACGTCCCGGAGGATTCTCCTCTCCCTACTACTTTCTCTGCAACTTTACCAATTCTAGGCAAAGTCTACACTCCGAATGGTCTTCCCTGCAAAACCTTCACGGGAATCCTGTTGTTTGCCGAAGGTTCTTCCTTGCAGAAACTGTTGTTGAAGTCCCACTGCTCGCTAGAACTTCAATCGGGCACACCCTCTCCTTACTGTTGAAGAAAATAGTTGCTTAAGTTTTTACCCATGATGAAAAATAAGGGAAAACGGGATTTTACCCGCTTATATAGACTACGCTGCCCTCAAATGCCCCTCACAACCAGAGGTAACACTCACCCCTAGCGCCGATTGGCTTAGCGCTGGGTGTAAATTTCTAAATACAACCCTAGAGCCGTTTGACTTAGCGTCGGGTTAGTTTCCAAATACACCCTTAACACCTGGTGAGTTTCCAAATACAACCCTAGCGCCAGTTGACTTAGCACCGGGTGTGTCTCCAAAATGACCCCAGCACCGATTAACTCAGCGCTAGTTGTCTTCAGATAATACCACGGGTCATTCATAACACCAGCTGAACAACGCCATTTTTGTTATGAGAACTCAGTGCCATTTGAATATTCGTAATAAACCATAAGCTCTACACATGGCACCGGCCGTATTTCAAGCAGTGTATGCCTTACTACTATCCCAAGTGGAGTTCTATACCTAAGCCAGGACATGTCATCCCTAGTGGACTTGCACCCAGGCCGTTGCACCTAAACTGTGACTTCCCTAATGGAGTTAGGAGTTGTCCCTCGTCTCCCACTAGGAGTCACACCCATACTGCGGCCCATCATCCCTATTGAAGTTAAGGTCATTCTTACTTCCTTAATCCTCAATGGGCGAGCTTCACACTAAGCTACCTTACCCCTAAGGAGTTAGGTTACCTGTTATAGAGTCTCATCTTTCACTCAGAGAGTACGCTTACCTCCGTTAAAACCACAACAAATTCCACTTCTGCTAATCATCATACATCAGGCCACCATTTTCATCTGAGCCCTCTGCTTGTGTATGGCCTTAACCGTTTTATCCCCAAGGACTCAGAATGCCATCCACAGACCTATTCCCCATGGAGCTCCACCTACACGGCGACCCAGCCTCGGTCCATACTGCATAACCATAAACTGGTCAACCATGGTCCATACTGCATGACCCTAAATTGCTCAACCTCTG